ATTCTTGTAAGTACTTAAAAAGCTAAAGAATAAATAAATCAAGTTCCTTAAATAATTGCCTCTTTTATTTTTCAGGCATTGATTAAAAATAATTGTATGTAAATTTATAGATTATCTTAATTATGATAGAACTAAGTGAATAATATTATATATATATCATTTCTATTTTGTCATCATATTCAACAACAAAGTAAGTGAAATTTTATATTAAACTTACATGAAACTGCTAACGAATACATCATTCCTTACAAATACAGATGGTCCCTAACTTATGATGGTTCGATTACAATTTTTTTACTTTATTATGGTGCAAAAATGATACGCATTCAGTAGAAACCATACTTCAAATTTTGAATTTAGATCTTCGCTGAGGCTGGCAATATGCTGCACGATCCTCTCCCGTGATGCTGAGCAGTGGCAGGAGCCACAGCTCTCAGTCAGCCACGCGCTCACGAGGGTAAACAACCGATGCACTTACAACCATTCTGTACCCAGACAACCATTCTGTTTTTCACTTTCAGTACAGTATTCAATAAATTACAGGAGATGTTCAACACTTTATTATAAAATAGGCTTTGTGTTAGATGATTTGCCCAACTGTAGGCTGATGTAAGCACGTGTAAGGTAGGCTAGGCTAAGCTAGGATGTTCGGTAGGTTAGGTGTATTAAATGCATTTTCGACTTAACGGTATTTTCAATTCACAATGGGTTTATCAGGACATAACCCCACTGTAAGTTGAGGAAGAGCTGTATAAATGTATTCAGTGAAAAGTGGGCTAGAAAAGGCTGTATCCCCACACCACACCCCCCAAACACACACACACACACACACCCCCCTTTGGAAGGGGAGGGAGAAAATCGCCTAAAATGTCCCTGAGTTTTGACTTGGTAGCAATTATTGCCTTTTCCTTTTGAAAGTGATACATTTGTGCTCAGTGGTTGTGGCTTTGAATGAAATCCTCTAGCATCTGTTCTGGGCAGGTTGCAAATTGCATCACACTTGTTTTTTCTCTTGAGAGGCAACACAGTATTTTGAAAAGAGATGAGGTTCTTAAGTCAAACAGATATAGGTTTTCCACTTGCTTCATGTATAATATTGGGAAATAGTTTAATTTTTTAGAGCCCCCATTTTCTTTCAACTGCAGAGGCAGAATGACTTCATACTGTTTGTGATGAATAAATGCCAAAAGTAGCCACCATATAATGAGCACCTACTCTGATGCAGCCATTAACATTAATCTTTATAAAAACACTGTAGGGTAAGGGTTATTCTAATCTCCATTTGACACAAGAGCGCATCAGTAAAATGCCATTATAGTGTTCAGCTCAGTAAATTGAGGTGGTGGTAATGGTAATTATAGTGGTGGTGGTTGTAGTTGCTTTTGTGACCGTGGTCATCTTACAGCACCACATTCCCACTTTAACTGAATCAATTTAAGGATATAAAAAGGCAGCCAGCTTAGGGAACACAGGACTCAAAGTCAGGTTTATCTCCCCATGATCTGTGCTGTTAAACGTTACACCATATTGTTATGGTATTTTGAGATTTTAGATTCACTAAATGCTGGCCCTATGCATAGAGGCACTTCATTCTTAATGGGACAATGTTTCCAATTTATATTTAAAAATAGTTTTGGTGTTTTTTTCTGAAGGCATGCTGATATGTTACCTAAAATGCACATTTTATCCTTAGTATACAGATTTGTATACACTTACACCAGGGAATCATTTCAGTGACTTAGTTACCTGACTACCTGGCTGATTCTTCTACTTGGGTTGGGTATTTCTGGTTTCCTTGTTCTGTGCATTGGGTTTGGGGTAATAGCCTATTCTCCATGAATTATGTTTCTCAAGTGTAGTAACTGTACGAGTTATTTCTGTGCCTCTTTTCAATTGCTGTTATTATTGCTAATAAAGATAATCTTAACATCTTAACTGATGATTCGTACTGTTTTACATCTAAAATTTAATCTGAAGTATTCATTTCATAAATCAAATTGTAGAAATAGGATATTGCCATATAATTTATAATCACATCTCATGCCAATAGGTGTAATTATTTAGCAATATAAATTCATGAGGATCTGTTACTTAATATTTATTTTTAGCCTGAGCTATGCATTTATTTCTAATCAGTAAAAGGTTCTTTTTCTACTTCAGGGAGACTTAAACCATAAAAACAAACTGGGGGAAAAAAAAAACACTGAAATGTGATCCATTTTTCTGGGTACTATATACACTTAAAGGCATTAAAGATCTCACAGTACTACTTAAAAATTATATAATTAATTGAGACGTGAATAGTTTGACATTATGTTTATTAGGTAAGAAGTAAGCATTGAGATTCCGTAGAAGGCATAGCAGTGTACTGGGAACGCTGCTAGTCCTTATGGATGCTGAAATACAATAAGAGTTCACAGAGTTCTAGGGAGCAACTTGCAGTCTTTGCTTGCTTAGAATTTGGCCAGTACATCTAAAGATTTGATTCACTGGAAATGCTCTAAATTCAAATTAGAAAGTAACCTTTAGCAAAATGCATATGATCCACCTTGCAGACTTCCGTATAAAAGTTCTACATGTGTGAGAACCACTTTACGTGGTAATTTTTTTTCTTGTATTACTCTTACAACTGTGAATATCTATGAAAATGAGCAACAGCATTAGTGGCACAGCTAGCCTTCAGAATATTCGCTTGCTTCGTACCAGCATGAGGTTTACACTGCCATTAAAACCACTGTAATTTTACGGTTTATGAAGCTCTTCCTCAACCTTCTTATTTCATCTTCACAACAACCCAGTGAGGAGGGCAAGCGTAGTGGACGTTTGTCGTTTCTGCTGACTCAGCATCCCCAGATCCTTCCTGCCCAGGGAGAGCCCAGAGATAAGATGGATGGAAGGTAGGGCTGCTCCTCCCTCTCCCCAAATCAAAGGAGAGCAGATACTCTCTTCCGTTAACTCGGCTGCTCCAACGCTTTCATGTGACTGAGGCTCAGCCAATGAGAGGATCCTGCCTGAAAGTTTCCCCAGAAATGAGCCAATCAGAGCTGCTGAAGAGAGTTTGGGGCTCATTCCCACGGAGGCGGTGAAACAGCTAGAGATTTCAGAGTCCAGGGCCGGAGGGGCAACTTGAGTGTCCCTTTGTTTCTGTCCATTTTGCCCAGAGGCTTTTCAGCCTCTTCCCTCAACTAGCTATCTCATATCTTTTCTGCACATCCCCATCACATTTAACTTTACTAAAGCAGGTTTTGGTTGCTTTGCAACCCAGAACACAGGTGATTATAGCAAGTAGTGCTATTCCCAATTTATAGATGAAGAAATTGAACCTTACTGAGGTTAAGTGACTTGCATGAATTGTAGTTATATAGAAAAGCCAAGTCTAGAACCCATGACTTCTACTTAAGGGTTGTTTCTTTCACAGCACACTGCTTTCCCAGTTGCCTTCAGTGGCCTCTGTAGATGGTGAGGCTGCTTTCTCCTCTATGCCTCCTTGATTGCAGTGTGTAATCCTACTTCCTGTTATATGTTTATCTGCTTGATGTCCAATGTGGTTGTCTTCCACGTTAGACCATTGAGCATCTGGAAGACAAAGATTGTATTATATTCATCATTTTCTTTCAAACATATATTGGAGTGCCGGGGTGCATAGTCAGGACCAAATAAAGATTTTAATGAATGAGTGAGCAAATGAGTGCATAAATCATTCAATTAAATGAAAACACCAATATGGGTTTGAAATTGATGATAATATTGATTTTAAAAAACAACACTATGTTCTTTACCAATCAAAATTTTAGACTATTTTAAATAATTTGCCTTGATTATATAAAGATGTTCACTTACTAAGCATTTATTCAATACCTACTATGTGCCAGGTTCTTATTACAGAGATAAATAAGAATTAGTCTCCTTCTTTAAGAAATCACACAGACTGATGAGAGAAACAAATGATTCCATAGCTCCGATCATGGAGCTGTGGGAAAAAGAGCTATGGTAATCTGAGGAATGACTAGAGCAGCAGGCCCGCTGTCAGCAGCCATGGGAACTACTAAACTGGCGTGGAGATACAGCTCCAGGCAGGATGCTGGTACGTGAAGGACAACAGCCAGAACCCTCTGAAAGCCGGAGAAAAGCACAATGTGTTTGCCTTTCCAGAATGTTGTGAAATTTGCTTTCAAAAAAGTAACCTGTACCCTTATGCGGACATAATTATATTAAAAAGGTTATAATCAAGGTTTGTTATCAAAAAACTTTGAATAATTTTGAAATTGCTACATACCATATGAGACAATACAACTATGTTTCGATTTGGCAGAAAGGTGAGAATGACGATGGATCTATATCTTTATATAAGCATTAAAGCCCAGTGAAATAGAAGCAACAAATAGAGATTTATATAAAAATATAAAGATACAAAAGCATATATATGTATATATAAAATACATATTTATAAAATAGGATAAAAATTTATCAATATAATTTCCATTCTCTACAAATTATACACACAGTAGGAGAAATATTTAACTCCATAATGTTTTGGTATCATTTGCAGACAATTACTACGGTACCCCGAAGCCTCCAGCAGAACCAGCACCATTGTTATTAAATGTAACAGACCAGATACTTCCAGGAGCCACTCCAAGCGCTGAAGGAAAACGGAAGAGGAATAAATCAGTGAGCAACATGGAGAAAACAAGTATAGAGCCTCCTGAGGAAGAAGAGGAAGAGAGGCCTGTGGTCAATGGAAACGGAGTAGTCGTAACACCAGGTTAGTCATTTACATTTTTTATAGGTTCCTCTGCTCTTTTAGATGTAACTAAATATATCTTATATCTGTGTGATCAAATGTATACATGTATTTTTTCACATTTATTTATTTTCATATATATATATGTTCAGACATGTATATATATATATGATTACAATTATCTTCAGAGACAGAAGATTATGATATCAAATGGAAAGGACATGATTCTTGTATCCAATTTATTAGTTTTAATTTTGACATATCAAGCAATTCATTGAACTTCCTCAATTTTGGGTTTCACTTATATAATAATGGCAATATAGTGAATGGTTTAAACTTCTTAGAAGGTGTTACAATCCGTGAATACAATTGTCTAAAGTTCTGAGGTCTCTGTTAATTAATGTTAGATAAAATCTAGCCTTAGAAATCTCACTATACTCTCATTTCTGTAAAGAGAGGCTGTGTCATGTTGTTTAGTTGACCACTTCACTGAATACAGTCCTCAAAATGACTACAGCTACAGAAAGCCCGTGTATTTACCTTTCCTCCTTTACCACCCAATCTGGCAATGTGGGGAAAGTATCTTTATACACTGACATTGTGAAGGCACCTACCCTTGAACAAAGAAAAGATTTGTTATCACTTTAATTTGTGATCTATCATATCACATATATAAGGAATATTAGACAGATATAAAGTATGTTTGTGCAAGGTATGGATTTGCTATTTTCTCATGCTTATTACTAGTAAAATGCCATTTTTTATTTATAAAATAGATTTTTTCATAATATTATTTATAATTAAATGTTACCAAAATAAAGCTGTGACATTCTCCTAGCCTCTAAGCTTGGAGTAAGTTTCCAAAGTTTGGTTTTAGTTTTTTATTTTTTAACAATGGCATATTAGTGGGCATTGAAAATCTAAGGGCTGTGTTAGAACTCTTGAAAAAATGTTAACACATGCACCTTGCATACATATTATTCTTAAGATATTTCCTACAACTACTTTCATGTCTATATTTTTATTTATCACAGTACTGCTTCTATAGTGATATAGTATTTGAATTTTCATGTTCAGTTTTTTTATAAAATAAAAGTTTCATAAGCCTATTTTTTACCTTCTTTATTGGTAATACTTGTAAAAATGTTCTTCATTGAACATAAGGAGACCAAGATCTAATCTGTGCCAATCGAAGTATAAAACCTTAAAAAGTGGTTTCATCTTGATTACTCAGAGGAGGATAAGCACCTCCTTTAATATACTGGTTAAAAACTTATTCTCTGACCCTAGCAATCATTGATTCCTGGATACAAATGCTAAGAATCACTCTGGGTACATGATGTAACTTGTTTACTATAAAATGATCTGGTAATTTTTAAGCAATTAGATACCTTCTGTTTTTTGATTCTGAAATACCTTTGTCAAAATATGTACTTTTCCTTGTGTGATAGATTTAAATTAAGTTGATAGGACATAGTTTCCTTAGTTGATCTTTGATGTGAGAAGCAAAATAGTTCAGCTAAGTGGAAGCAGTCATCACATAAGAAGCAGAAGTTGAGGGTCAAAGAACAGTTACCAAATTTCTTACAGGTTAACACCTTATAGTTAAAAATGTATAATATATGGCCTTGGTTAGGCCCAAGTCATTGGTTTCTATTTCATTTCTGCTCTGTATGGGGCAAATTAAATGAAGCGTTCTTGACCCATAGATTCTTAAACTAGAAATTTATATAATTGTGGAGCATAGTGAATCTAGATAGCACCATTTCCTTCTATTCATACTTGAGACATAAGGGATAGGGTATTTTTGTGGCTAGGAAGTCTTTCAGGGCCTCAAGGAAAATGGACCGGTGTGAACATTTCTTGACCAGCCCAGCTGTATGACTCTCTCTGGACCTCTTAGCCTGATGATGGTAGAGAACAACTGTCCAGGCCAGCTCTGGGATTTCTAGATAGTCAACAGATGCCACAAACAGTGGCTCTGTAAGCCTGGCTGGGCAAGTGGCCCTTATACTGTCTTTTTCTTTCCCATTATGGGAAATAAGAGATATATAAATTAGGCGGCTCTTCACTCAGTGTTCAAAGATGGAGGAAACAGCCCGAAATCAGAAAGTTTGTCCATTGTCCCTTATTAGAAATCTTTTGACAACTCTCATCTTTGAAATGTCTTTGTTTTACTTTGTTTATCCAATAGAAACTTTAGAATATTCTTTGTCCCCTCTCATATACATTTATCCAACTCTTCACCTTTTGAACCTCATCGCATCTTTTTCTAGCACAGGTCTTTGTCCTGCCTTTGTCTTCTTTTCATACACGTTTGCCAGATACAGGACACTTCAAACAATATTGAGAAAATTTTGTTTAAATCTTAGTTAACACTACCCTATATTGACTAAAGGCCTATAACAGTAATTAATATTAGACATCAATTCAGAGCATAAATAGAATAATAAATGAGGCACATTTGGAGAGTGAGAAAAGCTTGCTGAGGTAACTTTATTTCATTACAAAAAATATTCATAATAATCAGCTTCTTTTGGATGCTTACCATGTACTAGGAATTCCTTAACCTCGTTATGTGTATTAGTTCATTTAATTCTCCTAACAGTCCTATTAGCCAGGTGCTATTTTACAGATTAGGACACTAAGGTACACTACAGTTAAATAATTTTCCCAGTAACTGGAATTCGTATATAGAAAATCTGGATCCAGAACCCATGCTCTTAGCTGCTATGCTATCCTGAGTCTTTTCCCACCAAATAGAATCATAAACATATTTCTGAGAAATGTGTAGACACATGACCACTATCTTACCTGTACATCTTTAAAAATGGCATTATAAATTTCTACCTACCAAAGACTTCTTATTTCTTTCATTTCTGGAAATCGTGTACAAGTGAACTTATTTCCCTCTGTGGATATAAAAAAATTCCTAGTTTTTTAATAATATTCTGTGTGTATGTAAGCATCAAGCCTACCAATCTTTGACTCCTTATATACTTTACCAGAATGAACTATTTTCTCTACGTAAATAAAGATTTTAGAGGAGTGCTCAATTTACCTCTCTATCATTTTCTTCATCTTTTCTGCTTTGAACCGTAGTTTATAGTTAGGACTATACATTCCTTTTTCTCTCAGACCATATCTGTGTAAAGTCAGTGATCATCTTTAAATATGTAATTTCTCCATGAAGTTCTACTAACATTATCAATGAAAATCACATAAAATATGTGAATACTCATTTTATGCTAACTTCCCTCTTTTTGCTCAAAATTACATCAGACACATGGATTTAGCCCATAGCACTTAGAAAAGCCATATAATGATCTTTCATTGTCTCAGATCAGAAATGTTTTTCTCTCTGACATATGTCCATTTGGTGATGGAAATCAATGTAGTTCTGTCCTTAGAAATGTAGTTCTATCCTTGTTAAAAATAAAAATTACAAAAGTAAAAGTAAAACAAATATTGGCAAGTCTGCTTTAATGAATGCCTACATTTTTCTAGGCATATAGTACATATATTATCTCTAATCCCATAATCATAGTATATTTACTTAACAAATGAGTTGCTGATATTTAGCTTAAGGTGCTTGACTAGGGTTATGGTTAGTTTAGTAGCAGAGTTGAGATCTGGACCCAGGAATATCTAAACTCATTCTCTTTCCACCACACTTCCCTGAGGCTGTTAACTATGCTAAGGATAAAGTTGCTCCTGACCTTCATAAAGTAAATCACAATCCTGCAGCTCAGTGTATTTCATCTACATTGTATTCTATTATATTCATCCTTCATTGGGTTCATGGCAGTGGTTAGATCTAATGCTTGCAAGGATGATATATCCTTACATCATCTTAGAGAATCTGTCTTTAAACTGATATTTAAAATTCATATCCCCAGGAAACCTTCCCTTGACGTTAACCTCACCTATATTTAGACATCTTTATCTTGTTAGAGCTGACATCCAGCCCTATGGCTGCAAATACTGTAGATCTACCTGCAGCCTTCACTTTTCTCCAGTGTTCCAGGGCCATATTTCTAACTACTGCCCACTGGACTGCCCCACCTAAGCATTTCTTCAGCAACTTAAATGCAACATTCCACTTAAACTCGTCTCCCATAAAACAAACAAGCAAACCAACTCACAAAGTCCTTTACCTGATTTCTCTAATTCTTCTTTTCGCCCAGATAGCTCAGAGTTATCTTAGATGCTTCTCTCCCCCAGGCTGGATATATATTATTGGGTATAAAAAATCACTGGGCCTTTAGCTTCATCTCTTCCTTCCAAATATCACTGCCGTATACTACATCACTGCTTTATCAACTCGTTTGTGGATCACAAGTCTCCTAACTGACCTACATTCCTCCAGGTTCCATCCCTATCAAATTACCTATTATTCCTCAATCAGTTAGAGATTCTTGAACCTGCACTTGGTCATGTTAACTACCCTTCTCAAAACTTGGATGAGCTTCTAGTTCTGCTGCTTCAAACTCCTTGGGCAGCCACTCAGATGCTCCCACATTTGACTGCAGCATCTCTGTTAGCTTTGGCTCCCACTATTGCCCCACTCTCTTCTCTCCTCTACATCCCATACTAAGAAAACACCTTCATCTGTCTGATAAGGCCTTTCCTACATTTGAACTTCCTATTTTTTTATTCACAATTCAATGCAATTTTTTATTTTCGCTAGAAATCACTTGTTGACTCCCATAATGAAAAGTTGAGATGGTCCATCTCTGAATTATTTACACTTTTCATTCATTTGGGAGGTATTGGTTGGCCTGGTATTTGTAGGTAACTTTTCATGATGTGCATGTCTGGCGTCCCCACATAGCCTGTAAACATGGTAGGACAAGGACTGCTTCCACTTTTTACTTTTTAGTCTCAGTTGTTAGTATATACCTTTAAATAGTTCAAGTTCTTGGTAAATCTTTATTTTTTAGTCAACCAAACCTTTAGAGAATGTCAAAATTTCACTATGTCAATATGATTAGATTGATTTCATGCTCATTTTGTGCTAT